GGCAGCTGAGTTCCTTGGAAAAATCCAACTATGAGAAATTCAGCCAGAAAACATTCAAATGTAACTTGTCACCGGTGTTTTAAGGCAGCACCTTTAGTTTCTCCTGCAGAATGTTGGGTCTGTGAGCTCGGTTGGTTGGGTTGGGTTGGGTGAGTTGTGGTGGGTGGGGAATTCAGGACTATTTCAGGATTGAGTCCTGACATCTTGAGGAAAATCCTTCATGTGGAGGACTTAGAATCACAGAATGGTTTGGGTTGGAAGGGACCTTAAAGACCATCTCATTCCAAACCCCCTGCCATGGGCAGGGACACCTTCCACTAGCCCAGGTTGCTCCAAATCCCGTCCAACCTGTCCTTGGACACTTCCAGGGATCCAGGGGCAGCCACAGCTTCTCTGGGAATTTGTATTTTTGACTCTCGTAGGACAGGCTTGAAGGGAAAACCCCAAAAGCACTTGGTGGAGTGATGTACAGGCGACATGAGTTCCATAATCTTGGATAGTTTGGGTTGGAAGGGACCTTTAAGCCCATCTCATTCCACCCCCTGCCATGGGCAGGGACACCTTCCACTGGACCAGGTTGCTCCAAGGTCTCCTAGAAGCTCTCCAGGACTTCCCAATGGCCAACCTTGGCCTGGTTACAGCTGCAAAAGTCGGTCACTGACCTAAACCTGACCCTGGAGGTGAAAAGCTGCCTTTGCTTCTTCCATCAACCAGTCTGGGAGCAGAGCTGCTGCCAGGGCCTGGGATTTCTCCCATGGCAGAGCGGTGTGGGATGTTCCTGCTCTGCCAGCCTGCTGTGGATGAAGAAAGTAGCTGTGCCTGGGGGGGGACTTGAGCTCCCTGACCCAAACACTCAGTGTGCCATTGCTCAGTGGAACATTAGCCACGAACAGACTTGGGGGGTGGGTTGTTCTTACCTTTTATTTTATCGTCACATTAAGCAGAGCCCAGAGATTGATAGTCCTGAGTGATCGAGGCCATTTGACAGAATAACACAAGAATGCACTTGCTTTCATGTAAACCACACCAAAAGGGAAGGGGGATTTTTTATTTGATGATTTTTTTTTTAAATTTGATTTTTTTTTTAATCCCCTGAAGGCTTTTTGCCTCCCCCCCGTTAGCCCCAGGTCCCTCTGTTTCCAGAGGGCACGTCGGGAGTGTCACCCGGGCTTTGATGTGGTTTCCCTCGAGCGTGGCTCCTCACTGGGCTCCCCACAGATGCCTTGATGTGAAACAGGACGTTAAAAACCCCAAATGTGCCTCCTCTGCAGGTCATTTTTCATCCTTTTACGCGCGACGTCAAATCTCTTGCGCCGGGAAGGTGTGGGGAACGAGCTGGGGGGGTGGGGAGAGGGAGAGGGGAGTTCCTGGGCTGTTAAGCCCCAATTTCTCCGTGGTTGCTTCCTCTGGGCCTCACCCCAGCTCTGCCTTTCTCTCTCAGGGTGAAACTGAAACCTCGGTGACTTCACCCAACGCCGCCGAAGTTTTAAAGAAAATTCGATATTTCTCACTTTTAGGTCACTTCGAGTCCAGATTGTTTCCTGCCGGGAATGTGGGGGGCAGGGAAAATGCCCTCCCGGTAATGGAAAAGCAATTACTGGTTCTTCTGGAGCGGAGGTTGGGTTGTTCCAGCATCACACCTTGGTCGTGGGTCACCCCACCCTCTCAGGACCGTGCCCATCGTAGGATGGAGCGGCAGCTCCACGAGCTGGGATTATGGAATGTGACATTCCCGGTGTGCTGGAAGGGAGCAAACATCCACTGAGTCACTTCTGTTGCCCTATAAAATAGAAATCCCTGGAAAAATCTCTTCTAATTTGTAATTTTTCCCTCCCCCCAAATTCCTAAAGGTAAAGGTTCCTAAAGGTAAAAATTGTTCCTGGTGGACGCAGAAACTTTTGTGCTACTGGGAGCATCCTCTGGCTGCTTCCTGTGGATATCTGGGAGTTGGGACGTGTATTTTTGTCCTTTATTTTCATTCAGAGGATGGTGAGGCCCTGGCACAGGTTGGGCAGAGAAGCTGTGGGTGCCCCTGGATCCCTAGAAGTGTCCAAGGCCAGGTTGGAGCAACCTGGACTGGTGGAAGGTGTCCCTACCCATGGCAGGGGGTTGGAACAGGATGATCTTTAAGGTCCTTTCCAATCCAAACCATTCTGGAATTCTTAGGTTTTCCCAGTTGGTCCTTGGACTTTAATTCAGGTCAAAATTCTCTGGATAAACCTCGGTTTTATTCGCATTAAAAGTGCAAAATCTAAAGGTGGTGTTTGAATTTCACATGGACCTCCCTGGCCTGGAAAGACACATTTTCTTGACTTTGGGGTTTTCTAAATAACCGGAATTTATTAGATCTTATTAAGATTTGCTTTGGATCTTATTAACATTATTAATATTGCCACCTGGTCAGTAGATATCTCCTGTACTGTTGTCCTCCTCTGATCAGAGATGAAGCTGAGGGAAGACATTCCTTGTTGGAAAAGAGATGGGGACCTTGCAGAAAATATCCATGAGGTTGGACTCGATGATCCTTGTGGGTCCCCTCCAAGTCAGCCTGTTCTGGGGTTCTGTGAGGTCGTCTGGTGACGCTGAATTCTGTGTTCAGCCTGAGAGTTGCTGAGGGCTTGGGCAGTGGAGCTCAGCTCGTTATCCCAAATTTTCCCTCTCCCATGGCCGCCTCTGCAGCTCCGCCCTGGTTAATGATCCGTTTCGAGCGCGGCGTTTTTATCCAAGGCTTCGGCGTTTTTCCCACTCTTTGATTTCTTCCCTTTCTAGAAGAAGAAGAAGAAAGATTACATAAATTGGGGATTTTTTAATGAGCGCGCCGGGCTCGCTCCGGGTGGAATTTACAGTGGGCTCAGGGTTACGACTTCGTTGCGCTTCAGTTGGGAAACTTATGTCATAAATGGGTGTATCTGAGGGTGGACTCGAGCCCCGGCTCTTTGTTGTGTGAGCTTCAGAGGGACCAAACGGCTCCCTCCCCTTTTTTGAAGTCCTAATTCCCTTTATAGGGTGTTGCAACGGCTTTCTATAGAGTTGTGCCTCTGAAGTTGGAGGTTTCCAATGCGAAAAACACCCACTTTCCTCCCCCCCCCCCCCCCAGTTGCTTCGAGTCCTGACGTCGGTCGCAAACTTTGTAACTTCAGCGGCGTCCAACCCAGACCTTCTCCCGGGGCTTTTTGTCGCAAAAATCCCCATTGTTGGAGGCTCATCCCTTCGGAGATCTTTTTAATAAGCCTGGTTGGGAGTCCCCTTGCTCAGCTGGTGCTTGTCTTGTAGGAGCACTTGCAGGAAACGTCGAGGATCCTGCTGCTTTCCAACCACTAGAGGTCAAGATTGTGCTGTGGGATAGCTCTGCTAAGGGTTAGCTCCAATTCCTGGTGCAATTCCTGGTGCAGCCACGTCCAGTGTCAGCTTTGTATGTTGAATTTTGTCATCATTTGCCATGTTTGTTAATTAAGGTGAAGCCAGCTGCATGTTCACGTCCCACAGCGGTGGATTTTCAAGGGATAAGATCTCTTGTGCTTGGACTTTAATGTCTCTTTTAATATTTTAATATTCTTGAGGTGTAGGAACTACTCAGGTGATCAGGAGGGATTCTAAAGGGAGTTCGAGGCTGAGCAGAATAAAACCTGCTCATAAATTATTTTGGGGTCATATTAAGACTTTTTAAGTGTTTAAAAGGAAATAATTGTGGGGGTTTGCACATCAGATGGATCTTTCTCCTTTCTGCAGCTCAGGTGGCAAAAATAATTGGGAATTTTGAATAGTTGCCATTTGTTTTAATCCTCCTTTGGTTTCCCTGTGTGGTTGGTGTCGCTGACAACATATCTCCAATATGGTTTGTGGTTTCCCTTTTTCCTTTAAAATCCGGGCTGTGGTACAGGGAATGGTCTCCTTTTGCCACCTCACAGAATTCCAGAACGACCAGGAGCAACCTGGGCTGGTGGAAGGTGTCCCTGCCCAGGGCAGGGGGTTGGAATGAGATGATCTTTCAGGTCCCTTCCAACCCAAACCACTCCCTGATTTCCACACACCTTTCCTCTGATACATCAAAAATTCCTACAAAAACACGGGAGGGATCCTCAAAATCTGTGGGTATAAACCCCTGTAAATTCCAGGTTTGCAGAGTGTTTGTTTTCTGGTTACACCAGGACATAAACCCATGTGTGCAGAGCCATGACATCCATTGGCTTGGCCTTTTCCCTTTTATTTTGGCCAGGATTTGGCACTTGTGCCACTCATATCCCCCGTGCTGATCCCGATCCTCGTCCTTCCCCTTCAGTTCGAACTTCCTGACCGACTCTTGAACAACTGGGGCCGAACCCTTTTCCCATCAATATTGTGCTCAATAACAATGAGGAAACCAAGTGACTTCACGCAGCAGGTCACACGCTGCCAAAAAACCCCAAACCCCCCCAAAAACCCCGGAATATCCCCCCCCTCCGACTCCGCGTGCGTCGCTGCCGCGATCCCGGGGCTTCTCCCGGCTTTTTTCGCTCAGTACCTTTTACAGCTCGTTCTGTACATCAGCAACTGCAATTAAACTCTCCTGGGGTACCACAAAAATGCTTTCAGGGACCTCTGGGGTCCAGATGTGGAATGTTTTGCGCTGACACGGGTTGAAAAGAGGAACAAATCCAGCGGTTAAGTAGGTCCTTTAATTCAGCCTGTGACAGTCACCACATGGCCCGTGGGCTAATATTTCTGCATCTGGGCTGTAAATAGATCAATATGGCATTTGGATTTTGTGAAGAGGCAGAATATTGTTTTGTATCGTTGCATAATCCCCTGGAAAGGGTTTTGAAACGAGCCCTCTGTTTCTCTGGAATATCTGGCTCAGGGAAAAAACACGCCGGGTCTGAATCCCGTTAAATGCACGTTGGGTTTTGCCTCTTTCAGGTCAGGAACCTTTTTGCCCAAAAAACCAAAATTAAGTGTGAGGATACCGTGGTAAAAGGTGAAATGGGTTGTGGTTTTTTTGTTTTTTTTTTTTTTTTCCTTAGGCTCAGCAGCAGAGAAACCTGGACAACATCGTGTCCCAGCAGCCCAGGATAAGCGGGGGGAAGAAATCCAAGAAGGAATTCTGCGCCAGCTCCGACCTGGAGGTGAAAAACACCAGCCCCATGTCCGAGCAAGATTCGGGAATCCTGGATGTTGAGGATGAGGACGAGGACGAAGAGGTAACCGTGCAACAGCAGCTCAGGGGGCCTGGGTGGGTTGGGGGTGGTTGTGGTGTCTCAGGTGGTGTCTGGGGGTGGTTGTGGTGTCTCAGGGGGTGCTTGGGGATGGTTGTGGTGTCTCAAGGTGTGTTTGGGGGTGATTGTGGTGTCTCAGGGGGCATTTGGGGGTGGTTATGATGTCTCAGGTGGTGTCTGGGGGTGGTTGTGGTGTCTCAGGTGTTGTTTGGAGGTGGTTGTGGTGTCT